GGCTGGCTGGTCCCCCAGCAGCCCAGCTGGGTGCTTCTCCAGTCCGATGAGGACCATGCCCCTCAGGAACGTACCGGTGGTCAGGACAACGCTCCCGGCACATACTGTGCTCCCATCCCCTGAAACAGCAAGTTTTCAGAGATGCACGCACTGTGGTATTGACAAAGCCCCGGTATTCCGGTGCTTCTGCCTAAAACCAGACTAACAGTCTTCACTCAGGCTTTATCCGTCCTCTATCCTGTAACAAAACCAGCATTTCAGTAACAAAAGCACTAATGGTAATAACTGCCATAAGCAGCATGTAGTTATTCCTGTATTTTTCTTATTCCTCAGCGTCTCACCCCGAACACAGAAAACCTGCTCCTGGGAAAAATTCCTGCCCAGGCCTTTATTTCGGGAAGCTCGTTCACCAGGACAGCGAGGGGTAATACAGCATGAGTCTGCCACTAGCGGGGCACCACCGCCCCGCAGCGCCGTCGGCAGCACGCTCCATTCACCACAGAAAAACCCCAAAACGCAGCACAGGATTCAGCATCGCCGGCCTGAAGGAGATTAAACTCGCGTAACGTCCCAAGGCCCTGTCAATCCAGGTGCGATTTTCATTGTATGACAGGTATCAACCCAGCTTAGCTCGCGGTAGGCCTGAATCGCCCCCGATGAATCCAAAATGTCTGCCCCACAGGGCGCTCTCGGCGCAGCACAGCCCTTCAAAGGCGCCTGCCGAGCCACCAGCACATACCCAGAACGACTCCTGTGACTTGGCATTTCCCAGGATGGTCCGGCTCTGGCTCCGCTAGAAGAAGGTCCTCCACAGACGCCTCGCGAACTGTCAACAGTGGTGTGCTAAGGATTTCTTTCTGTCACGAAAGGAGTTACTGCAAAAATCTAGGAGGTTATGAGACGCGTGGGCAGTCGCAAACCCCGCGGATTTCCACAACATCTATCACCCTCTTCCCTTTCCCACTCTTACCAGGTCACCTGGCAGGCACTTGGTCACAGTGCTATCCTGATCTATCACAGAATGGTGGGGGTTGGAAGGGACCTCTGGGGGTCATCCAGTCCAACCCTCCTGCCCAAGCAGGGTCACCTACAGCAGGCTGCACAGGACCTTGTCCAGGTGGGTCTTGAATATCTCCAGAGAAGGAGACTCCACAACCTCCCTGGGCAACCTGTTCCAGTGCTCCATCAAGTAGAATTTTTCATCCACAGATGGAGTTTAAGCTCAAAAGAAACTATTTGGTCATGAACCCTGACCTGTATATAAAATGCTAGAGGATTTTTTTAACTGTGCCGAGCTCCAACAACTCACACTGCATTAAAGTACCGAACAGAAAGGTATCTAGGTTTGATAAGAAAATGTTAAAAAAAAATCCCCACAACCGCCATCATCCCCTGTAGTTTATCCTAAGAATGGCCTCAAGCTGCGTCAGGGGAGGTTTAGATTGGATATTAGGAAAAATTTCTTTACTGGAAGAGGGGGCAGACATTGGAACAGGCTGCCCAGGGAAGTGGTGGAGTCACCATCCCCGGAGGTGCTCAAACAACGTGTGGACATCGCACTTTGGGACGTGGTTTACCAGTGCACGGTGGCGGCGGGTGGGCGGTTGGACCTGACGATCTCAGAGGCCTTCTCCAACCCTCACGGCCCTGCGGTTCCGCGGCTCTGGCACCTCCCGCCTCCG